GCCTCCCAAAGTGCTGGGATTATAGGCTGAGCCACCTAGCCCGGCCCTTACTGATTTCAAATGGTTTATTTTATGTAGAATTTCTGTATTTGGTTTGGTCTGTTTCTGGATAAGTGTATTATACAGATGTCGCATGCTTTGCTGTTTTTACCGTTGTGCATAGTGGTTTATTTAAATATTTTAGTGCCTACTGGGTACTACTGTGGTAGGCAGTAGAAATGCAATAAAACAAAATCCCTTCTTTCATGGGGCTTATATTTTAGTGATGTACCTATTAAATCTTTAGTCACAAAAAGAACCAGAAGCTTGAATATAAAGTTTCTTGATGGCAGAGGCAGAGCACGCCCCCCCCCTTTTTTTGTGTGGGAATAGGGAATCTAGGAGGGATCATAGGAATTTTTTTTTTAATGCTTTGCTCATTTTTAAAAAAAATTCAGGCTGACTTCTATTTTTATAAAATACTGTTTTATTGTTGACTTTTAAAATTTCTTTGTATAGTTTGGGTCGGGCACGGTGCCTCATGTCTATAATCCCCACACTTTGGGAGGCGGAGGTTAGAGAATTGGGTTTCAGACGAGCCTAGCAACTTGATGAGACCTTTACTCTACAATAAATCAAAAATTAGCTCGGCGTGATGGTGCACGCATGTAGTTCCGGGTACTTGGACTACTGAGATTGAAGGATTGAGGCTGAGGCTGTGGGAATAGCCTGGACAACAGAGTGAGACACCAATTCAAAAAAAGAAAAATTTCTTTGTATAGTTTGAATAGCAGTCCTTTATCAGATATGTCTTCTGCAAATATTTTTTCCTGATTTGTGACTTGTCTTCTCAATTTCTTGAATCATTTCCTGTCTTAGTGAATGGCAGCTGAGCAGTTACCCAAGTCAGGAACTTGGACATCATCTTTGACTCTTTATTCTTAGGTCATATCTGATGAATTATCAAGATTCTGTCTCTTGAATATTTTCTGAATCTTTCAGAATTTTTCCCTTCTGTCACTACTCGGGGCACATTCAGCTCTCACCTGGTATACTTGCCTCTACTCTTGTCCCCCTTTCATTTACTTTTGACTGGAGTGATGTTTTCTGTTTTCTGCCTTTTAAAATCCTGTGGTAAGGTTCCATCATCTTTATAATACACTACTGGTCTTTGAGTAACTTTGAGTTACAGTTTTGATGAGGAAAAAATTCCCAGCTGGAGCTACTCTGTGTGTGAAGTTTGCATGTTCTCCTCATGTTTGTGTGGGTTTTCTCTGGGTATTCCAGTTTTCTCCAACACGCCCAAGATGTGCACATTAGATTCATTGGTGTGTCTGCGTTGTCCCAGTCTGTGTGAAGGTTGGGTGTATGTGAGTGGGCCCTGTTAGAGTGGTGGCCTGTTCAGGGATGGTTTCTACCTGGTGCCCTGGGCTACTGGAATAGGCTGTAGCCACCTGAGACCCTGAACTGGAATAAGCAGGTAAATACAGTATGTAATGATCTTACTTGTTTTTATTATTCTTATTAAGTGTATGTATAGTTCACGTTTATTTCAGTATTCAGTATTAGATGTGTTTTGGACTTTATTTAGAAGCATGATGATGATTTTGTGACCAGAAGAAAGCCAGTAGGTACTTAACTCTTGTTTATGCCAATTAGCCCATGTTAATTGGTTTCCTTATACATTGTTTTGCTAAAAGTCATGGTTTTATGAACCTGTCAGTGACCTTAAGTGAGGTCTGTAGTTCAGATTCCCTATCCAAGCTCAGAGAACCTTATATCATCTGTCTTCTGCTTGTCATGCTTTTCTTAATTTTTACCACCCTTACCACTTTTCCTTTCCTTCCATGCTCTAGCTATACTTAATGTTGTCTTAGTTCCTCAGAAGTTCTGTGCTTTCCTTTGCCTTCTGGTTTGCTTATACACCATTCTTTCCTATTAGGACATTCTTCCTGTTCCCTCCTCTGTGACTTGCTAACTCTCATTTATTCTTTCTGTCTCAGTAGAGGTGTCACTTTCTCTGTGAAGTCATTCTGATTTACATTATCACCCTTGAGTTTATATTATCTGTACTTCCTGTGTTAAGCATCTGGTATTTTCTGTTTATAGCACATATTGTAAAACATTTAAAAATGATCTGTGTAATTCATGTACAATAAATGGTATCCATTTAAAATGTAAAATTCAATGGATTTTGACCATTATAAACAATCAGGAAACCACTGGCCCAATGAAGTTATAGAACTTTTAAATCGATTGTTAAAGAGCCTTTGTGCTCCTTTACTGTGACCTCTCTTTGACTCTGGCCCCAGGAAACTGCTGATTAGCTTTTTATCTAGATTAATTTGTATTTTCTAGGATTTTTTAATATACTGTACTTATTTTGTGTCTGGCCTTCAACCAGAATGTGTAGATGTTTTTATATGTCAGTAATTTCTCACTTTTTATTGCTGAGTAGTATTCCATTGTTTATTCATTTACCTGTTGATGGATATTTGGGCTGTTTTCAGTTTGGGGGTATTTATTACATTGAATTTTAATTATCAATTATTTTCTGTATTCTTCTGTAAAGCATGCAACACTGTGAGAGCAAAAGACATAGTCTCTCTTGTTAACATTTGTATACGCAGCCCCTGCCTGTTACTAGCAGGTTCTTAATAAATGTTTATAGAATAATGAGTAAATGGCATTTTTTCTAATGCTAAAGAGCAGAAAGGCAATATTATTTCAAGTAGTACAAGTATAAATTTATGTCAGTGTATATTGAACCAGGAGTTTAGTTAAGGAATAGCATTTGTTTAGCTTCTTGGTTATTGTGATTGATATTTGTGGATATATATTGCCAGAACTGTTCTTTCTATTTACAAAGTAATAACTTTTTAACTTCTTAACATGTAATTTTTGATAGTCATTTTAAAATTTGTGGGTTTTGATACCCATACTAAGATAATCAACTTTTTTATTTATTTATTTATTTTGAGTTTGAAGTCTCACTCTGTCGCCCAGGCTGGAGTGCAGTGGCACACTCATGGCCACCCCAGTGTCTACCTCTTGGGCTGCGGTGATCCTTCCACCTCAGCCTTCCAAGTAGCCGGAACTACAGGGGCACGCTATCATGCCCGGCTAATTTTTGATTTATTGTAGAGACTAGGGCTCACCAAGTTGCCCAGGCTGATCTTGAACCTGTGGACTCAGGCAATTCACTTGCCCCGGCCTCCCAAAGTACTGAGATTATAGGCTGTGCCACCGAGCCAAGCCAGTAATCAGCTTTGAAGCATAAAAAGTTCAATTGTTTCTGCCAGAGAGTCCCAAACTTTCTTGATTTACAATACCTTAATTGTCTCAGTCATTATTTCATGGTATCCCTAGACCAAAAGAAATACCTAAGATGTGTACTTTTTGATTCAAATAACTTAATAAGTATACTTTAACAATGTAAATATTTAAAAAATAGTACACAGAAACTGAAAGAAAACATTTTATTCTTAATCATTATTATTACTAATGGGGTGTGTATACCTTTTGGACACTGCACAGCTCTTAACTTTGGAATTTGATTGGTTACCAGTACTCTTAATTCTTGTTCCACATTGATTTTTAAATTATAGTTATTACCAATCATTATAATAAATAATAATAGTTACTTTGCATTGCATTAAAAACTAGCAGGTTGTCAAGTATTTGAAAATGTGTTTTTTAAGTATCCTTTTAGGAAGATATTTTTGAAGCAATCCACAACAGTACTTCTGTAATCATAAGAATTTATAAACTTGAGATATAAGTATTCTGTTGTAAAGTATAAGGTTAGAAAAAGTATACTTGATATATCAAGTTAAAATTATGACTTTTGCAATCAAGCATATGAGATAGGAATCCAGTTTCATTCTCTCCCTTTTAAATATGGAACATTAGTTTTTCATGCATTACGTATTTTAAGATTTCATTTTTTTCCTCACTTTTTCTCTTAGAAATTAAGTTTGGCTGTTTATGGAATTTTCTAATTTTTTTAAATCAGTATGTCTGTTTTTGTGGTAGTACCACATCGTCCACTTTATTATATCATTACAGTTTTTCTCTATATCTTGTTTAAGAAAAGTTCTTCCACTTTCTTTTTTTATTGTTGTTGAAGTATTTTGGCTGTTCTTGGCGTTTATTTTACTATATACATTTGGAAATAGCTTATTAAGTTGTTACTGTAAATCTTTGATATACTTATTGGAATTACATTGAATTGTTGCATCAATTTTAGAGGACAATTGACATTTTTATGATACAGAGTTTTCAGTCACTGAACATCATGTAACTTCTTTGTCTTCTCTCATGTCTTCCAGTAAAATTTTATATTTTTTTTCCATGATAGTCTGCATATCTTCTGTTATACATATGACATAGAGAAGGAGATATCAGACTACAGCCCACAGGACAAATCTGAACACCACCTGCCTTTATAAGGCTCATGAGCCAAGTATGCTAGCTAAGAATTTTACAAATGGTTGGAAAAAAATAAAAAGAATATTTCATGGTGTATGAAAATTATTTGAAATTAAAATTTTAGTGTTCATAAATAAAGTTTTAATGGAACATAACTATGTTTATTCATTTAAATATATGACTGTATTTACACTATACATGCAGAGTTGATTGCTGGAATAGAGAGTGTATGGCCTGCAAATTTGTAAAAAATTTACTATCTGGCTCTTTCTATAAAAAGTTTGCCTTCCCTAACTTATAATTATTGTTTGTCTGTGTCTCAGTGTTTCTTTGTGTGTTAGGGTGGGGGTGAGGTTTCAGCCTCCCTTTCCATTAACTTTATCTTCAGTTCTGATAAGAGTTAAACTCATAATGAATCACTATTACCAAAATATATTGCATTCTTCAGATATGTTTGGACACAGCCGAAAGTTGAAACGACATTGTGATTTATGCAGTAATTACTGTAGCTGTTTTTTCGTATTTTACATTTGATAATTAAATTTCAATAAAATAGCAATTAATCTCTTTACTGATTCCTCTTTTTGTAGGAAATTAAAAGAGACACAGACTCCAAGGATGACAATTTACCTATTAAACGGGAAAGGCATGGGAATGTAGCAAGTCTTGTGCAACGAATAAGCAACTATGGACTTCCAGCTGGAGGAATTCAGCCACATCCACAAACCAAAAACATTAAGAAGAGTATGTAAATAATTCCTTTCCTGCATAGTTACATCAAAATAGAAAGGATATTTTGTAAATTAAGAAAAATTAGTTTTTTGTAGCAGACTGCAGTAACTTTCTACTTATTCTTGTGTTACTAGTTATTGGCCTGTGTAGTCAATCTTAATTTTTAGTCATGTGCAATCAATAACATACCGATAATTCAGCATGAGTAACCGGCAGCCATCTATGGTGGGAATTATAAATTAAAATATGAAGTTTTCTTGCTTTCTTAATTATCTTATAGACTCTCTTCAGCAGTTAACACTTTATCTTAGCTATATTTTAATACTGTTTATTTAATAGAATGCTGAAATTCCTGCTGATTCTTAGCAGCATAGATACAGAAATTTTGATAGTGCTTTTTTTTGTTTTCCTTTTGAGTCAGCATCACTCTTTTGCAGGGTTGTGGTTACGACTCCTGTAACCTCCACCTACTGGCTCAGGCAGTCTTTGCCTCAGCCTTCCAAGTAGCTGAAACTGTAGTCGTGCAACTATTGTAGAGATGAAGTCTAACCAAGATTCCCAAGCTGATCTCAAACCCCTGAGGCAATCCTCTTGCCTCAGCCTCCCAAGGTGCTGGGATAACAGACAAGAGCCACTGTGACTGGCTAGTGTTTTTTCTTTAGTTGACAGACATCTTATCATAAATATTCAGTTCTCAAGGTGGTTGACTCAGCAGTGTGCGCTTTGAGGATTTGTTATTGTGTAAATATGTTAGGAGAACAATTTGGCAGAGAGAGAGAACACTGTATTTGAAATCAGATGAGTTTGAGTATGTCTTGTGTCCTCAGGTCATATAAACTCTCGAGTTTTATTTTGCTGCTGGTGAGAAAGTGGTAAAACACACAAAAAAAGTCAGGTAATATTGCTGTTCTCAAAGAGCTTACAGTCTTGGGAAAAAAACTTATTTAAAAGGCGTAAAATATTAAACATGTACAAAGAAGCACAGTGTTCATGGGAGCAGATAGAAAGTGCTTTAGCAGAGTAAAACCTGTACCTCCTTGAGAGGTTGAATACTTATTACTATGGTCAATTTGATTTAATCAGCACTAATGAATATTTAACCACATTTACCTTAAATCTAAGGTAATTAGATTATTTAATTGTTATTTAAAAGTGGCTCATTGTATTAGTGTCTTTAAAATTATGGCCTACAAATCCCTGTGTTACCAAGTAGTGTATGATGAAAAAATTTTGTTTACATGTATTTCCCAAATTGCCAGTGCAAGTCTTTTAATTATTTTTACAGAATCCCCTTAAATCTCAACCCGTTATTTTCTGTGCTACTGTCTGTCAAGTTTGAGAAAACCTCTGCTTTGTGGATTACATCATTCTTTGGCTGTTTTTATAAAAATGAAAACAGATTTGCATAAAAGTGAAACAGATTTTATGACACTGAGACAGCTCAATTAAAGGTTTTTATTTGTTCTTTGTTTCTCAGAAATACAATGTCCAAACAATATTTAGATATTACCTGTACTGTTTTCAGCCTAATTGCCTTGAAGGCAGACAGTTGTTTCCACATTCCAATGATCTTGGGCTCTGAAACTGCTTGAGATTGGGAGACAAGTAACAGGTCCATATCCTATAGCTGAACTTCTTGTTTTAGGCTTATGGAAGATTTATCATGACCTCTGTTCATAGTAAAACCTATTTACTACTTTCACTGTAGGGAGCTTTAAAGAGAAAACTTTCTTCTTAAGTAGAGGGTAGACAGAGAGGTTCAAGGTTTTGAATATTTTATTCACTTTATCTTCTAATAGGAAAATTTACCTTTCAGCAGAATACTGGATGTAATTCTTTTTCTTGTAATATGGAAAAATCATTATATAGTTGGTGCCAGGAAGCTTAGGCTTTTTTTCCCCTAAGGGTCCTCTATAACTTGTTTTTAAGTACATGCTGCAAGGACTAAAATAGCCATTTGCTGTCAGCTAACATTTAAAACAGGATGCAGGTTGTTATATTTTCCTGTTTTCCTATCATTTATGTATTATTTATGTTTATTAAATATGATTGTTTTTGATACTGTTAGTTTGGATCATACCTCTAATTTTCACAATAGTAGATCTGTTATTTAAAAGTGGCTCATTGTATTGTTAAATAGTAGAGGGTAAAACTAATCAACACTATTAATGTTTAAAACAAAATGCCAAAACCATTGCAAAGGTTGATAGTATAAGCACTGCAGTGTATATATTAAATTTAAATCTCTGTGTACCAAGACAAAATGAATTTGCATTATGTGCAAATTTTGTCTAAGCAACTAGAAAGGAGAGGTTCAGATAAGTATGATGTTGAATATCTGAAAATCGGATTGTACTAATGAGCTGTTTTTCTCTGGTTCCTAAAGTGTTGACTTTTTGGGGGTAGTCCTGAAACCACTGAAACTTTTCCTATGGCATGTTATTAAGCATGGTAACTTTTAAAACAAATAGGCATTTTCTAGAGCAAACACAGAATAGTATTTTCCAGGAAAAAGTTGATTACCATAAGTTGCTAAAGTCAGAGAAGAGAATAAATTTACATTTCTCAGAGCATAAACAGTTACAAGTCACATTACTTCTGAAACCCTTGTAAAATCAACCACAAAGATCATGGTAAGTATTGTGTTTGGAGAGTAAAGAATTCACATCTTTCAGCATCACAATTCTAAGTAGTGTTCACTGTGGAATATTTAACTTCCATCAATGGAAGATATTGATGCCAGGTGGAATCTAATTGTCACATGTGAAAGCAGACAGTGCTTGCTAACTTTATTTTTCTTATTAGTGGAAACTCATGCTGCAGAGGAGGTGATTTTTCATCTAGTTAATTATTTTGAATGTAAAAGATCCATTGAGATTGATATGGATAGATCACTAGTGTATGTACTGAAAGGAATAGTGTTGCACATGAAAAATTATTTGATAGAATGCCAATCTACACATTGCTTCACTTCCAAAAACAGTTGGTAGCAAATAGTATGCCTCCTGATTTGAGTCAGTGCTGAAGAAAATAGTACAACTTTATTTTCTACCAAATTTTGACCACTAACTATGCATCTTTGTAGCACACCTTTTGAAAAAAGTGGGCTTATTTTATTACTTTAGGCTCTGTTCTTTGACACTGGAATATTCTGACTCATAAGGGGAAAAAAGTTACTCAAATTACTCCTCTCCAGTGTAGCGTTTCAAATGAATGGGATAGGGTGTTCTAACTTTCTATTTTATTTTGAAAAATTGTAAATCTCTAGAAAAGATGAAGGAATCATTGTGCAATGGACATGGTACACTCTTCACCTAAGTTTGCTATTAACATTTTGTCACATTGACTTTATGTTTATATCCGTGTGTTTTTATATATATATATTAACAATCGGTTAAAAGTATGCTGTAGACATGATGCTTTACCTTTAGTCACATGAACTTTTTCTTCATGATAAATGATAGTAAAGATTTTCTAAGATTTGGAGTGTCTTAATCTAGTGGTATATCTCAGTGATATAACTCGTATCTTGAATAGCTTAAACCTTTCATTTAATATCCCAAGTGTTATAATTATTAATTTTTTTTTTTTGCTTATTGGAGAAAAAATTGATTTTAAAAATTTGACTAGTTAAATAAATTTAAATGTACCCCAAAAAACCCCAAAATACATTTTCCAGAACCAAATAAAATCAAAAATGGAAGAGAGATCCTTTTGCTGCTGTTTCTAAAGTTTTAACATTCAACATCCCAGTTTCTGAGTGGGGTATATTCTTATTTTAACATTTGATAGAAAGATTTTAAAAACAGTAATCTTCGATGAGAAATGGTTTCATAATTTAAGAGCTTTGATTGATCTGAATATTTAGATCTGTTTTTCACAAATGAAATACTTAATTGTTCTTGATGACCTATATTTGAAAATTAAGGATTTTCTGTTTTTGTAGAGCAAAATTTTACTTAATGTGAAATTTCACATGATTTAGTTTTGTTTTTCAGAAATAGAAACATTTAAAAAAGGTTCCTAAAATTTTTTGATTCTTATGTGCCAAATGACTTAATAATATCGGTGGGTGCTACAATCATGAGAGACAGTATTGGTCTAAACAATTAAATCTGTCACATAAGGTGGAGTATGGATCATGACTCAGAACTCACTATTTAGCAAGGGCAGACATGATGTTGCTGTAAAGTAAGGATGATAGCAATAATCATTTCATAGGCTATCAGAGCTATTAACATGCTGAGTAGTTATAGCATATTTGTAATCATTATTCTAATGTTTTATAATATTAGAACTATTTTAGAGACATATAATGTGCAGTGATGATTTAGATGAAGGAGCAATTCTATACTGGGGTTGTCAAGCAAGGAGTATTTAAGCTTTTCTTTAGGCAGGACACATTCACATGGAGATTGAGGAGTTTAGCATTCCAGGTAAAGTTGCAGACTTTGGCAGACTACAGAAATAAGCAGTAAGGAATCAAGTATGACTAGACTGCATGAAAAAGATGTAGTGGAAAGATACAAGACTAAGAAGTAGGTATAATATAACAGAAGTGAGTATAATTTTAGTTTTGCCTCATTTTAGTTCTATGGTCTTTGGCTTCTGAGTTCCTTTCTTCTCATTGGTAAATGAGAATAAGTTTTTATACTTTGTCATGTGAGGGATATTTGTTAAGGACTTAGAATAGAATAGCTGGCACATCAAAGACATGACATGTGTCCCTGCCTTTGCTGTAACTCCTTTATTCTCTTCCTTGTTAATAGTTTTACTTACATATTTCTTTTAAGGATTTTTTTTTTTTTTTTACCATTAGTTTTTTTGTAGGTCTGAAAAAGTATAGGTTACTCATGATAAGAAAATACTAGTTATAGTTTTTTAAAAAATGAATTTAATTTCATGCATCTTTTTATTGTCAACTCTACTCATCTACCATTTTTTTTTCTTTTGTGCTTAGCATGGGTTCTGATATACTGATATACTGTAGAAATTAGCTTTTATTGACCAGTATATATGGGTAGACATTGTATGTGCAGTTTGAACTGTGAAAAATCTCAAAGTTCCTCTTAATCGTGTTAGCAGTTAATGAATGAGTTCAGTATAGATAGTGAAACACTGTTTAAATATGAAATCATATGAAACATTTTTTTCATTGTAAATAAATGACTGACATTTTGTGGTAATAACTATTTAGATGTTTTAACCCAGTGTGATTCTTTCCTTCGAAAACTTGGGGAAAAAAATGCAAGTAATTCTGCAAACTGTTTAGGAAAAAACCATGCTTAGTGTGAGAGGAAAAAAATAAGCTCTTGGTTAAAATGTAACTAGGTTGCTCAAAGTTAATTGACATGCTTAGGGTGGGGCTGATGAATATTGTAATCACATTAAGTTCCATTTTAAAGGATTGATACTTAAGTAGAGGAAATCACATTTTTTTAAAGGTCTAAAATTATCAGAAGGATAGAAAAGACTATTTTTAAAGAGTACCCTGAGCAACATAGATTTTTCTTTTCAATAATATAGATCATTTTCCTCTTGTCTATGGCATGCATAGAACAAAACAAAGAACACATTTTCTCAAGGTCACTGCAACAACTTGCGAAAGTATTTAGGGAATCAATTTATACTATAAGAGATGAGAAGTTTTCTTGCAGTATGCATAAAACTACCATTCTTTAAATTACTGAAAAATTTACCTTGAGACCTGATGAAAGGTGATATTTGAAAAATTTTACTGTGAACCCTAAAAAAAAAAAAAATCCATGGTTACTTTCTTTGGTTTCTTTTATTGTAAAACATACACTTAAATAATATACAAATTATTAGTTCCTTTAGGAAGGGGAAAAACTCAAAATGGTATAACTGTTTCTTGGAGATTCTTAATTCTAGCTCCCTTTGAGAGTCCTGTCTCTTTTGCACTGAGATTTCTATGCTGTTGGTTGCATGTAATATGCTTTTGTTGTTTTGGGGGTTCAGTTAGATTTATTTTTTTGTCTTGACAAACAGCTTCATAGACTCACAGAATGTCAGAGCTAAAGTTACTGCAGTGGTTATCTGGTTTAACTTTTTAATTTTATGGCTCAGGAGATTGATTTCTAGAGAATTTTGATGAAATAACTAGGTAATGACAGTTGTACTAGAACCCAAGTCTTCTGACATCTAATCCAGTATGGTGTTTCTACTGTAGCATAAAGTTTATTGGAGATGTTATGATCATCATTTGATGCAGTGAAATTCTGCTTCTCTAGATTACTACTTAGGATTCTCCTTTGTTTGTTTTCTCTCCTTAGAATTCTTGTATTACCAAATCCTATTTTGTGGGTAAACCTTTTTTTCCTTGCTTTATAATATCTGCCACATGTATCCCACCTTCTTGTATCTTGTTCTTCTTTTGTTGTGTAATTGTTATTTCTTCTTTGAAGCCCTCCACATCTGCTCCAGTTCAAACCTATCTGTAGTAATTTTTCAATATCTATAGTTTGTACTAAATATTTTACTCTCATTATGTATTCAAGTTTTGTCACTGAGTGTTTAATGTACATGTTTCTTTTTCAAGTTCTGTTCTTTTAAGTGTGCATTTAAACTATTAAGAAGCATCCTGTTAGGATTGTTGGTCATAAACTGTTGATGGAGTATAGACACTCTTGGGATAATAGTGGTTGGCATTGATGCCATATGGTTAGGCTAGATTTTTGTTTATCAATTCATTAAAAAATACTTAATGCATACTGCTATGATTTGAATGGTGGTTCTCCTCAAAAATCATGTTGGAGTTTAATTTCCACCGTGATTCAGAGGCTCTGTCCTCATGAATGGATTAGTATCTTATGAAAGAGTGAGGGGACTACCCTAGGACCTTTTTTGCTTTTTAACCATGTAACAACACAGCATGAGGGCCCTTACCAGACACCAAACCTGTTGGCACCTTGATCTTGGGTATCCCAGCCTCCAGAACTGTCAGATTTCTACTATTTATATTATCCAGTCTCAAGTATTTTGTTATAGCAGCACAAACAAATCAAGACAGATGCCTAGAATAAGCCAAACACTATGCTAGGTGCTGGGGAGAGAGCAATTAGCAAACCCAGTACCCATTTCTCTTTAGCCTACAGAGTACAGTGGGATTACACACAAGAGAATGAGTCACTATAATGAATGAAAAAGGAAATTATAAATAACAGGTAGAAGCCAGTGGGGGTTAAGTACAGAGTGCTGCTGAAGCTTTAAAGGGAGAGTACCTAATCCAGCAAACTATTTGGGAATAAGTGTTTTCTAAGCTGAGAACTGAAGATGAGTTGAAGACTAACCAAGGTGGGCTTCATGGATGAAGGTAAAGTCTCTTGGCAAAACAAATAGTACATTTAAGTACTAGAAGGAATAGGGTATGCCATTCAAGAAATTAAAGAAGATTGGGATAACTGGATCATTGAGTGCAAGATTAAGAATCACTTAAAGATCTTGTTAAAGTGCAGACTGATTCAATCTGCTGCTATAACAAAACACTCAGACTTGGTGGCTTAAGCAACAGAAATTTACTTTTTTACAGTTATGAAGGCATAAAAGTCCAAGGTCAAGGGGCTCTCAGGGTTGGTTTCTGGATGTCTCTTTTCCCCTCTTCCTGCTTTTCTTGCATGGTCTTTCCTCTCTATTGGAGGGTTGTACGGAAGGTGGTGGTGAGTTGATGTCTCTTTCTTCTTTATAAGGATTCCAGTCCTATTTGATTAGGGCTCTTATTCTTATGACTTCATTTAACCAAATTTACCTACCCAAAGGTCCTGTTGCCAAATACACATTGGGGATTAGGGGTTGGGGGTTTCAATATATGAATTTTGAAGGGACTTGTTAATTCAGTCCAGAACAAGTAAGTCTAGGGTGGAACCTGAGGTACTACTTTTCTGACAGACTTCCAGGTGATGTGTTGCCCCTGGTCTGAGGAACACATTTTGAATCGCAAGAAGTAATCAACTCTGTCTGTGGTCATCTTACCCATTGCTAATTAACGATTAAGTTTTAAAAATGGGAGTGAATCCGAATTCTCTCTCTCTCTCTTTTTTTTTTTTATTGATTTGGAGTCTCACTCTATCACCCAGGCTGGAGTGCAGTGGCACATTCTTGGCCACCCCAGTGTTGACCTGCTGGGATCTGGCGATCCTTTTGTCTCAGCCTTTCAAGTAGCCAGAACTACAGGTGCATGCTACCACGCCTGGCTTATTTTTTAATTATTGTAGAGATGAGGTCTCACCAAGTTGCCTGGGCTGGTCTCAAACCCGTGGGCTCAGGCAATCCTCTCATCTCAGCCTTCCAAAGTGCTGGGATTATAGGCTGAGCCACCGAGCCCGGCCTCAATTCTTGAAGTTTGAAGAAGATTGAGAACACAAGCCTGAATGGTTATAAATGATCATATCTCAGTAAATGAACCTTGTTTGAAAAGCTAAAATAAAGTCATTTTTATCTTCATTGATGTGATTTTTACTTTTTTTTTTTTTTGAGTTGGAGTCTCACTCTGTCGCCCAGACTGGAGTATAGTGGCCACTCCCGGCCACCGCAGCCTTGACTTGCTGGGCTCCGGCGATCCTTCTGCCTCAGCCTTCCAAGTAACTGGAACTACAGGCGCACGCTACCACGCCTGGTAATTTTTTTTGATTTATTGTAGAGATGAGGTCTTGCCAAGTTCCCCAGGTGGGTCTCGAACCCACGGGCTCAGGCAATCCACTCACCTCAGCCTCCCAAAGGCGTGGGATTACAGACTGAGCCATCGAACCCGGCTGATTTTTACTTTTATCTGTCTGAGAATTAGAGTAATTAAAGAAGGCGATACATTTTAGATTTTTACATTTTGCCTCTTTACCACAGATTGTCTTATAAGTAATATGTTTTAAATACTATTCCTAGACTTTGATTAGGAAATAGTCTGAAAATTACTGGCCTGGAGGACTTGTCTATGTAAATAAAGACACTGTTTTAAAAAGTGATCTTTCCTAACCTAATTTTTTTTGTCATGTTATTTCCTTTAGAGATCAAGAAGCGTCAGTGTAAAGTTCTTTTTGAGTACATTCCACAAAATGAAGATGAACTGGAGCTGAAAGTGGGAGATATTATTGATATTAATGAAGAGGTAAGGAAAATATGTGCTAGAGATAAAGCAGAATTGTAGTCGATGCTCAGGGTTTTAGAAAAATACTTTGATTTGAATTTACTGTAGACACAAAGCAGTGAAATAGAAGTAATTTTATCTTACAAATACAAAGCAGAATCTTTTTTTTTTTTTTTTTTAAAGAGACAGAGTCTCATCTTCTCGCCCAGGCTGGAGTGCAGTGGCATGATTAAAGCTTACTGCAGTCTCAACCTCCTGGACTCAAGTGTGCTTCCATCCTCAAGCTCCCAAGTAGCTGGGATTACAAGTATGCCCCATCATGCCCAGCTAGTTTTTAAAGTTTTTTGTAGAGATGAAGTCTTGCTGTATTGCTTAGGCTGGTCTGGAACTCCTGGCTCAAGCATCATCCTATCTTGGCCTCCTAAGGTACTGGGATTATAGATATGAGCCACTGCACCGGGCCAGAATCTTTTTAAAAGCTTTACTTTGTTTTAATTATCACACTCAGCTATTAATCACAAATATTTTTCCACATTTTAATATCTTACAATAAGATTTAAAAATATTTTAAAAATATCTTTTCACATCTCTGCTTTTTATCATTGAAGGGGTATTAAAGTTTTATTTGACAACCAAAGGTCCCAATTTCAAAGTATATTTTTGTTATGATACACCGTAGCAGGGATTACACCACATAATGTAATTTATCACTAATGTTTATGTTTGTGTACACTTACAGTGTATTTATACAAAAGGCAATCCTATTTAATTTCCACCTGGTGACAGTAATAATAGTTAACGTTTCTTGCGTGTGTATTATGTTGGAAGGACTATGCTAAGTGTTTCACATTATTTCCTTTAATGTTATAAACAACCTTAACAAGATAGGAATTTTTATCCCCGTTTTATATCAGAAGAGATTGAGTCACAGAAGATAAGTGATTGACTGTTCTAGTTAATGTTGTTGCATACCAGCCATCCCAAATTTATTGGCAAAGAATAACTGTTTTATTATGCTTGTAGGTTGTGAGTCAAGAATTCAGATAGGACACAGCAGGGATGGCTTGTTCTATAATGTTTGGTGCCCTCAGCTGGAAAGGTTAAAGCTGGGAACTGGTGAACTCATAGGAAGTCTCTTTCACTCACTTGCATGGGGCCTAGAAGCCTTGAAGACTATAACTGCTGGTTGGAGAAGCCATTATGTAGCCTCTTCATTTGGCCTGACTTTCTTACAATATGGGGGTCTCAAGGTAGTCAGACTTGTTACATGGTAGTTTGTGGCTCTTAAGTGTTTGAGCATTTCAGCAGACATGGCTGGTGTTAGCTTTATTTCCTTTTACAGTCTTGCCTTGGAAACAGAAGTGTTATTTTTACTATCTTCTGTTCATTGCAAGTGAATCATAAGCCATCAAGATCAAAGGGGTAGGGAACAAAGACCACCACTTCTTGGTGGAGGAGTTTCAAGATCATATTTGAGGGATGGGAGATCATGTTGCATGATCTTTGCCTTAGTTCATATGCCTGGCACATGGAGGAGCCTGAATTTGAAGCCATGCAGTCTGTTTTTGAGTCTTTCCCACTATACTACTCTGCTTCCTAAGAATTCCTTAATTAAGTAACATTAACTACCCAGCTGCTGCCACTTAGGGTTTCAAGTATAGATAATAGTCTGCCGTTGTTTCTTTCTTTGTTGTATCTGTTCCAGTTTGGCCTACTTATCCCCATCACACCTGGTTTGAATCACTGCTGATCCTTTGGTGCTAAAAATTCTGAACTCTTCACGCTTACTGCCTTCCCTTCCTCCCTCAAACAGGTTGTATCCTAGCCACTTTGTATTTCAGCTATACCTTCCATAAATAAATCATTTATTTTTAAGTAATTATATTTTTCACATGTGTTTTGCCTGGAAAACTCTTATTCAGTCTTAAATATCAGGGTTTTTTGTTGTTGTTTTGTTTTTTGTCATTTCCTTTTAGGGGAGTGTATTGGGATTCTTTTAAGCTCTTTCTGTGTGCTCCCATGGCATTTGTTCAGACTTTTGTTATAGCACCTCTTACATTGTATTATTACTCTGTGCTTATTGTTTGATTTTTTTTTTTCTTTAGACTGTTCAAGGACACAGATTTCTCATATGCGAGTTTGAATCTTTCCCTGGTAGTTGACACCATGGCTTACATATAAGTGTGTCTGTTAGATGGATAACTTATTAAAAGTTTGCCTTGCAATTATGATGAGATGAAAGACATTAAAACATTTTAAATGGGAAAAAGATTTTCCAGCAATGATATTGCATGCATTGCTGCTAAGTAAATATTGACAGTGAATAGTTTATTCTTTAAAAAATTGTTTTTATGTGTTAAAGCTCCCTAGCATTCTTAGCAGAAGCTATAAGTTTTAAAACAGTTATTAAACTTTTGTTAAATAACTTCATGGGAAATTTAGTAACCTTGTTTTAGTGATTGTCAGTATTTTTCTAAAGACTTTCATTCATGATGATACTTTTGATTGGAGTGAGGTATTTAGTAAGGTCCAATATCTGTATTTTTAAAATTAAGCAATTCTTTTTCATACTTTTGTTGAGAGTCACTATTTAAATAAAAGGTTTAGTAATTTTCTGTGCCATTTAGGAAGTTGTATTCTTATAGTGATCAAACTTTCCAAATCAAAAATTTCCAAATAACTTAAGCAATATACAAATCAAGGCTCAGTAGTGTTTATAAGAGTGACATTCTAGAAGAAGAGTTATGTCCTTCTTCCTGTTATCGCATTGTACTTGGTTATCTGATTCTTTCATGAAAAGTACTTATTGCATAGGTTACAGTTGATTAGTTTTCATTGTAAATATTGCAAAGTGCTATTTATATATGATTAATCCACTTAGATTTAATCTACTTAAAATATATAGTTCCTTATTGTGTTCTCTTAAGTTTTAAAGGGATTATTTTGTATCACTAACTTTGTGTTGATTTGCTTCTGCAGCATAATTTTCCCACAGGGTGAAAATTTTCCCTTAAAATAAATTTTTATTATTTTTGAGTTGTGACCTCTTTCAGGTAGAAGAAGGCTGGTGGAGTGGAACCCTGCACAACAAGTTGGGACTGTTTCCCTCAAATTTTGTGAAAGAATTAGAGGTAACTGATGATGGTGAAATTCATGAAGCCCAGGAGGATTCAGGTAGACTGTTTTAAAAAATTTTGAATAGAGTTAAATGCATTTTATATATGATCTAGTGTTTATTTTTTATTTTTGAAACTCTGTTCTTTCTTTCTTTTGAACTTCTAGTCAGCTTCAGTTAGTCTACTTTAAAAAGCAGATTATGGTGGAGACCTAAAGTGAACTAAATATTTAATCAGATAATTTAGTATTTTTCTTTCTCTGATGTCTGGTTTTACCCTAAGTAAATCTTTGATATCTTGATTATAAAATGACACTACTTACGCTATCTGATTTCTTCTTATTAAGGTATATTTATATATACTTTTGATATGCTGAATTTGCAGTTGGCCTGTCTAATACTTTACACATTTAAGAAATTAAAAATAATCTAATTTTTCTTGTTTTCTATATTCGCATAAAAGATTTTGCTTATTCTGTGCAGCCAAATGTCATTTAGTTATTTGTGATACTCATCATTTGTATACTTATCCACAAATTCATCTTAATTTCCTCACCATTAAAGAGTATGACTGAGAAAATTTTATCCCAGAGCTAGATTTAAATTTCATTACTTTTAAGAATTACTGTAGGATTTAGGGAACAATTTTTTAAAAATGAGGACTTGACATTTATAAGCATTAATGCAGGGATTGGTAGATTTTAAAAAAAAATTTATTTAATGATGCGGGATACAGTTCAGGATTAGATATACAAGTGGACATCATAGAGGTAAAGTTTGGGCCTCTCTTTGGTCCCCACTTTTCCTGGTTTGAGATCAGATATCCTTAATGATGTGTATTCCCCCCCTCATCCCTTCACCACTATCCCTGACTGGCTTATTTATGTATATATGTATGCATGCATTTTTGTAAAGATGAGGTCTCACTAGGTTACCCAGACTGTTCTTGAACTCCTAGGCTCAAGCAATCTTCCCACCTGGTCTCCCAAAGTTCTGTGTTTTTTGATTTCTATCATTTTAGACTTTATTAAGAAAGCTCCCTGAAACTTTTGTCTTCATCCATAATAAAGTTTGCCAGCACATGAATAATTCGCACAATGTTTCTCCCTCTACTTGTTAAGAATGTTTTGAACCTGGAGAAAAAGGAGGCTTTTGCAATGGTAGAAAAAAGCATGAGATATAGAGCAAGCTCACGATCATCTACTTAGAGAGCTTGACAGTCCTAGTACAGCTCCTTTTATAGCAAAGAAACCTAAGACTTAAATTATGATTTACTTTGTTTTTGTTTTTTTTTTGAGTTGGATTCTCACTCCACCACCCAGGGTGGAGTACAGTGGCACACTCATGGCCACCCCAGCATCAACTTGCTAGACTCTAGCGATCCTTCCACCTCAACTTTCCAAGCAGTTGGAACTATAGGTGTGCACTATCACGCCTGGCTAATTTTTTATTTATTGTAGAGATGGGGTGTCACCAAGTTGCCTAGGCTGGTCTTGAACCCTCAGGCTCAGGCAATCCACTCGCCTTGACCTCCCAAAGTGCTGAGATTACAGGCTGAGCTATCAAGCCCAGCCTACATATTTTTTATATACATATTTTTCTTAGAAGATTAGACTTCTAAGAATTTGGGCTTTTGGATCCTGTTCTTTGTACTTTCCCACACTAGTTTTCATCTGTTGGTTCATCTTTCTAACTCCAGCACATTGATTTATTTTGAAACTTTTTTCTTATCTTGGAGAAAAATTACAGCAGTTGTTAACATTTTGCCTTGTTTGCTGTAATTTTATCATTCATTTTGTCTGTATGTTCATCTATCTTTATCTTTACTCTTTAGTATTTCAGTGTATATTTCTTAAGAATAAAGATAGTTTCTTATGTAACTACAGCACAATTATCAAAGTCAATACATTTAACCCTTTGTACTCGGAGACATGTTTCCTAAATCTAGAATAGTTTCATAGCCTTTCTCTGTTTTTTCTTGACATTGATATTTGTGAAGCCTTAGGGCAGTTGTTTTGAAGAATGGCCCCCAGCTTGGATTTTTTTTGTGATTCCTCATGATCAGATTCTGGTTATATTTTATTGACAGAACTACAGGATGATGATGTCTCATTGCATTGCATCCAGAGGTACATAATGTCCATGTCTTTTTATTTGATGTTAAATTTGACTAAAATTTAATCACAAATTTAGTTAAAGCTATTCTGCCACTGTAAGTTTACTGTTTTCTCCTTGCAATTGATAAGCATTTCTGTGTGGAAATACTTTGAGACTGTATAAATATGCTATTCCTCATCAAACTTTCACTCAGCAGTTTTAGCATCATGGTTAAATTTTGCCTGAGTTAGTTATTACTATGATGGTTGCCACAAATGATTTCTCTGACAGCATCATCCCTTTGGTGTTTATTACTTGACATTTTGCTCTAAAGAAGAACAACTTTTTCTACAATATATTTATCAGTTTAGACTCATCAGTGGGTTCTGTTTCACTAAGTATTAGTCTATTACTAGTTTTACTTATTTTGATAGCCTCATATTAGCCCAGTAGTTTCTGTGACTTTTTAAGAAATTAACTTTGGTGGGGATGTCATTTACAAACAGTAAGCTGTGTACCTTTAAAACATAAAATGTAATGAGTTTGAGATATGTATAAATTCATGAAGACCACTGCTGTAATAAATGTACAATCTGGGCTCAGTGGTTCAGCCTGTAATCCCACACTTTGGGAGACTGAGGTGAGTGGATTGCCTGAGCCCACGGGTTCGAGACTCGCCTGGGCAACTTGGCGAGACCTCATCTCTACAATAAATCAAAAAATTAGCCGGGTGTGGTAGCGCGCGCCTGTAGTTCCAGCTACTTGGAAGGCTGAGGCGGAGGGATCGCCAGAGCCCAGCAGGTCAAGGCTGCGGTGGCCGGGAGCGTGCCACTGCCCTCCAGTCTGGGCGACAGAGTGAGACTCCAACTCAAAAAAATAAATAAATAAATGTACAGAACACTTCCATCACCCCCAAAATAATGCTCATGCTTTTTGCAGTCCATTTCTTTATTTTGCTTTTAGCTCTAGGCAATCATAGATCTGCTTTTTTGTCGTTATGGGTAGGTTTGTATTGCTATGTCCTTTTGACATCTCTCTATCATTTTTTGTGGACTTTGTTACCTTGTGATTCAATATATTCTAGTCTTATCTTGAATTTTCCCTAACTTAATCCTGGAATCAGCTATAATTATCTAGGCATGGTCAAACTTTTTTTTTTTTTTTTTTTTGGAGAGAGGAATAGTGTTTGGTCATCAAGATTTGGGTAATGATATATTCATAACTGCTGGGGATGATATTGCATCCGTGTCTTTATAATAAGCTGGAAAGTGCAGGCACACATAGGCACACCCCCACTCATCATTCATCTTTACTTATCATTCGTCTGTCTGCCTGTCTACCTCTACTGGTACCTCTAAGCCTTCTTAGTGGACAAGCTAGAAATTGCTTACACACACACACACACACACACACACACACACACACACACACACACACACACACACACCTCCCTCTGTCTGTATCTTTGCCTCTTTTTTTGAATAGGAGTCTCACTCTGCCACCCAGGCTGGAGTGCAGTGACACAGCTTATATCTTATTGACCTACTGGACTCAGGCGATCCTTCTGCCTAAGCCTTCCAAGTAGCTGGAACCACAGGCACACACAACCATGCTGGCTAACTGTTTATTTATTGTAGAGATGACATCTTGCCAAGTTGCCCAGGCTGGTCTCGAACCCCTGGACTAAGGCAATCCTCTCTCCTAGACCTCCCAAAGTGCTGGGATTACAGTCATGAGCCACCGTGCCAGGCTTGTCCATATCTCTTTACCTATCATTCATCTGTCTGTCTATACCAGTAAAGACTGGTATATTTAATTCCATTTTAATACCACAGAGTACATGCATCCTAGACTCTAGTGATTTTATTTCTAAGTCCACCAGCCATAGAAATGCTGAGTAATTGAGTTTGCTTTACTTCTACAGGAATTTATTTTTTTCTTATGAGTTTTACTTATCTGTACATTGCAGGCCACAATTATTTTACCTGTGTCCATTTGCTTTTCAGTCTAATGTTGGATTTGAAAGACTGAATGCTTAAAAAGTAATATCACAATTTTTGGTATTATTAATAGGTTGTGTAGATATAGAAAAACCAATGTAAGTTTAGTTTCTAAAAGATTGATGTAGGCTTTCTCTTGGAATTTTAGAATGTCACAGTAGAAGATGTGTTACTTTACAGTCATAAAATACTGGTTATTGCTCTAGAAAGTAGACAGTATATAACAAGTCTTGTAATGAGAGCTAGGACAAATGAATGAGATTTTGAGGAAAAATTACCAGTTAACTATAAATAACAACAATTTTTCAGATATAGGTTTTAGGGGTTAATTATAGTAATAATTAATAAGCAATAAAGTAAAGGTATAAGTTTGAACAGTTTTAACTGCTGTAATTTTTAGAATAAAATATATGACATAAGGAAGAAGCAGAGGCCATTTTAACAAGGGAATGTTTCTTTATTTTTTTTTTTTGAGTTGGAGTCTCACTCTGTCACCCAGACTGGAGTGCAGTGGCCGCTCATGGCCACCGCAGCCTCAACCTGCTGGGCTCCGGTGATCCTTCCACCTCAGCCTTCCGAGTAGCCGGAATTACAGGCATGTGCTACCATGCCCGTCTGATTTTTTTGATTTATTGTAGAGATGAGGTCTTGCTGCCCAGGCGGGTCTTGAACCCGCGGGCTCAGGCAATACACTCACCTCAGCCTCCCAAAGGTGCGGGATTACAGGCTGAGCCACGGAGCCCGACTGGGGGGAATGTTTCTTAATCTTTCTGTGTACTAACTTCTATTTTGGTTTTGAGAGAGTACAGAATCCCTTATGTAGTCCAGATGTGTAAGGGCCACATTTATAGAGAGTAAGACAAATGTGAACTAACTATATTTAGATCATAGAGTAAAATTATCTGAGTTATGGTCCATAGGTTTAGGAAGTGTTGGGGAAAGAAAGTTTCTAAATGTAATACTTTGTTTGACACTTTGTTTTGTTTAATTTGCAAATTTTCATTTTCTCAGAAATGTTCCAGGAAACATTAGAAATAAAGCTTTTGTCCAAAACTGACACATGTCATTTCCACTAACATTGTATTGGGCCATTATGGCCATTCCTAAGTGTAGCAGGGAGGAGTACCAAACATTTGTGAACAATATTACACTCTACAATATATACTACTCTAGATCACTTTTTGAGAATCCTTTTCTTTAAAGTTTATTAGCCTTTTGAAGGAATCCAGATGTACTCTTACTTATCAGGTCCCTAATAAGTACAAACTAGTGGAAAGAGCATGACCTTCACAGCTATTTAGTGTGACTAGGGATGCCCAGTTGCCTCCCATTTTTAAGTATTCTTCCAATGTATGTGTTCTTTCTAACTTAGCAGTGAATTTTTTTAGATTCTAAGTTTTTCTAAGGGTCTGCTCTACATAGTTGAAACTGAACAAATAATTGAATCCTCTTGCCTTCTCTTTGGCCACCTGCTCTCTAGGTGTCTTTTGAAGACAGAATTGCCTACCTCATGTAAAGCACACCTCCACTTTTTAGGTGGTATAATGTAGTGAACTTATATGTAGTGCTTGGCAAATTTTGAAGCACAGTATAGGTACTAGTTTTTTTCTGCCACACTACTTCATTCTTATTTCTAACCCCTTTCCTTTAATTTCCGTGCTTTTAAATGTAGAGGTAATTATGTTTTGAATAGTGATATGATAAGTAGTATTAAGCAGAATAATTTTTATTATTGGGATAGAGTGAGGTGGGGTTAGAGGACGTTGAATTCAGTTTTCTTATGGTATGGATGCTGATTCCACTGACAGGAAAAAAATTAAGATAGGAATAAAAGGAGAAGGAATCATACCAAATAGATATACTTCCGCTATTTAATGTTATATTTGTTTGAGAATACTTGATATCATTTCTGAAGTCAGAACTTATGGTTAAGGATGTATGAAAAAGTTAGAGAACAAATATTGGTACCAAAATCACCTGTATTAGATTTAGTAAGGCATTTATTACTTAGAAAATTGTCTTCTATGTTACTTCTGATGGCACATTGGTATTTCTTATGGTTCACAAGGTATTGGATCTTCTGATACATATTTTTAACATTAAGTTTTAGTGTAAATTAAAGTTTATGAGTGAAATGATCTTCATGATGCCATGTAAAAGTAAGTCCTTTACATGTCTACAAAGTTTAAACTCCATGTGGGACTACCAATGCAAAAGAACTAATTTATGTTTGGGTTTAGTTCATTACTATTATAGTTATAAATATTTTGGGCATTTTCTTGTGCTGCTCTGCTCTATATGAGTTTTAGTAACTTTGTAGAATTATATTTGTTAGAAATATACTTTTTTTGGCTTAACCGTTTTACAATGACAGTGCAGTCTAAATGTGGAGCTTTATGATTATGGGGTGGAAAGTTAGAGGTTGAAGTACACTATAATTCTCCCCCTTTTTTCTTTCCAACTCTGTTTTTAGTTAGAAAGTTTCTGCATATTGATGTGAATGTCAGGAAGTAAGTGTTTTATAAGGAGTGACTACTTAAAATTTTAGTGATAAAAGTACATAGTTCTTTAAGTTTTGAGTTGATCCTATGCATTATTACTTAAAGAATTGCTATCTACTTTTCCTGTGTCCTAATGAAGTAGTAACAGCCTCTGTCCTTAATTGGTGTTTTGATAGTCTTTTCAGTCCATAAAATAATTTTTTCTAGTAGCTATTATGAAAATTAGTGGATTATTCATTACAAATGTTATTTTTAGCTTAACAGTATTGGAATATCATATCCACTGTATTTGATTATTTTACATAGTTTCTTCTTACACTCCTTTAAATTTTAATTAGGATTCCTCTTCCTCCCTCTCCCTCTCCCCCCTTTCTTTCTTCCCCTTTCTCCTCTTCAACCTCCTCTGATATAAATGGGATGATGATCTTGGTGTAGTTAAACTCTAATACTTCTAAGAAGATAGTTCTGATTCCAAATAATAGATGGGCAATATTACTGGTAACTTATTTTTATTTCCTCAGTTTTCATTGAAGAACTGTAGAATAAAAGTTTTAAGAAAGCCACTGTTATATTTTCTGTAGGAATGTAATAAAAACATAATCTGTTTTGTTACTTAGTGGTCTCTATATAAAGTTCCAAGATAAATTTATTTTAGTATTCAGTCTGGGAAAGCATTGCTTCTCTTGGAAAGTGTTATGTTTCAGTTATTATAATGAGATGTTCCTTTTTTCATTTTGTTATATATACGTAACCTTTCTTAAAGTGTCTTTGTCAGCAATCAGATTCCATGTATTTGCCAAATAGGAGCTTGTTTACAATTTTTCCCCTATATATAAAGCCAATGACAGTGTACGCTGACATCTTCCACCCTTTTTTATATCTTCTCTATACATTAAGCCTGTTTTACAATCTCCATGTAGATGTCTAATAGGCATCTTAAACTTGAAGAAGGTCAGAATCGAATCCCTGCCTTTTTTTCTGCTCTTAAATCTCCTATACATAATCTTCCCCATTAAATTTAATGAATTTAATGCAGTTTAATCCTTTTACTTAGGCCAGAATTTGTGGATTTCTTAATTAATATTTTACTAATTAAATTTACCTAAAATTGTTATTGTTTTGAATAGCAACAAAAAAGTCAGTATAAATTGCGTCTTACTATTTTGGATATTTCAATACTTGATCATTTAGCTTGTTTTTATTCTACTATTTTTTTGTTTTTGTTTTTTTGAGTTGGAGTCTCACTCCGTCACCCAGACTGGCATGCAATGGCACGTCACTGCCACCCCAGCGTCAATCTGCTGGGTTCAGGCGATCTTTCTGCCTCAGCCTTCCAAGTAGCCGGAACTACAGTGCATGCTACCATGCCCAGCTAATTTTTTTTTTTTTTTAATTAATTGTAGAGATGAGGTCTTGCCTAGTTGCCCAAGTTGTTCTGGAATCCCCTTAACTCGTCCTTCCAAATTGCTGGGATTACAGGCTTAAGCTACAGCGCCCGGCCTATTCTGGTTTTTATTAGGATGTTTATAGAATGTGGACATTATGGAAGGGGATGTCAAGATTTTTTTAATCCTAGGTGTCATCCTTCAAAAACAAATTATTCTTTCAGAAACTATTTTGACTGGGCCTACTTCACCTTTACCCTCTCCGGGGAATGGGAGCGACACTGCACCTGGATCAGCTACACAGCCAAAGAAAATTCGAGGAATTGGTTTTGGAGATATTTTTAAAGAAGGTTCTGTGAAACTTAAGACAAGAACATCCAGTAGTGAAACAGAAGAGAAAAAAACAGAAAAGGTGGTAATGATGAATTTAACTTAGATTAACTCCACTTGTTCAGTTTTTAAAATGTAAAAGTTTGCAACTCTGTTATGTGTATTCTTTTGAGATTTCTAATCATTTGGTTATGAATGCAAAGACTGTGAGAGACTGGTTGAATCTTATAAAATTAGAATGTTTGTTTTTTGATAAATTTTAATGCAAACTTTTCTGAGTAGATGCTTTAGTTATTTTAGTTACCAGATTGTAAATAAAAATTAGAAAGAGGGGTGTTGTTTTTTTTTTTTGCCTTTCTAAGGTAAAATTTATATTTTTTCTTTTAATTTGAAGTGGAGCTAAAAATGGGTTATTTTTAAATGAATTCACACTGAAATATTAAGCTACTGAGACACTGTTTGACTTTTCTTTGGATTGTCAACAATGGTAAGTTTTACTGTTTTTTCTTTTTGAATATAAGAATTTTATTTTATTTTATTTTATTTATTTTTTTGAGTTGGAGTCTCACTCTGTCACCTAGACTGGAGTGCAGTGGCTGCTCCCAGCCACCGCAGCCTCGACCCGTCTGCCGATCCTTCCGCCTCAGCCTTCCAGGTAGCCAGAATTACAGGCATGTACTACCATGCCCGGCTGATTTTTTGATTTATTGTAGAGATGAGGTCTCGCTGCCCAGGCGGGTCTCGAACCTGTGGACTCAGGCAGTCCACTCACCTCAGCCTCCCAAAGGCGCGGGATTACAGGCTGAGCCACCGAGCCCGGCTGAATTTTATTTTTCATTAGCATTTTACTAGCATGAAATAAAACAAAACAAACTATAAATTATAAGCTGTGATAAGAGGCATTAAGATATAACCTTAAGTTTTTATTTTGGTAGTAAAATAGCTAAAATTTTTAGAATATTTTTTCAAAATTGTTCCTGGTATCAGTCCCTTAGAGATTCACATTGAGTATTTACTTCAGATAAGCTTTTCTCTTGACTTTCAGGACATAGTTTCTTCTATATTTCTCATTTGTATCTCTTTAACTCTTAAGCACTTAAAATATTTAAGTATTTATTTGTTTAGTTCAGCTACGATTCATTTATAAGATGATGTTTTGAATAGTGGAATAGAGTCTTAAGTTTCCTCCTAAGGTAGATGGTTTCAGTGTATTTTTACCTTTCCCAGCTTGCTACTCATTTTCTCATGTAATAGTGAGGACTTGGGTTCAGGAGAGAGAACTTCCACTTTCTTCCTTAAACTCTTAGTTCTGAGACTGCCTGGCATTAGTATTATGCAGTCTGACTGATTCTCAGTTTTAAAGGTTTTAAAGGAATTCTCGTGTTTTTTGGAATGGTGCTCTATAGCTATATATTAGCTAGGAATGTTAGAGAAGCAATTCTTGGATTATTATAGAAATTAGAAAGATGATCTTATGCTTTTTCCAACTCTAAAGCTTATATTTACACTGAATAACTTTATTTGATTAATGATTATATTTATCTTCTAGTCATTGATAATGTCCATTCTTCAGAGTTGTTACTAGTGAGAGTAGTCTCAGAGTTTCTAAGATGGCCATTTGAGGCTTGCTTTGATCACTGATCTAGGAATTGATTAAGTAGAGAGCACATTTACTGTGTTTGTAGGTGACACCAGATTGGAAGATACAGTGGTTAGAACTGGGAGAAATTAAAGTATTTTAGAAGATAAACAGAAAACAGTGTTAGGTATGCTAGCAGAATATGTTGATTTTTAATTAATATCTAAGATCAAATGTACTGTTGTTTGGGGGCAGAGAATGCAGGGAAACACTAATATAAGATAGTAAAGGACTTTATTTAGTCTATTACATGGACATATGTCTAGTAGACTGTAGTTACAAGTGTCGTAACATTAGCTTAATAGTTCTCATGCAGATAGAAATGATATAGAGAGTTTTATTTTCTACTCTATTTCATTTTAAGGTAAAGTTTAGTGCTGCTAATAGTCCACTTTCTGGAGTCAGACTTTCTGGGCTTAAATATGGTCTCCTCTACTGGAACCTAGGGATAACAATAATTTCTGTTACTGCAAGGAAATTACTTAACTGCTTTTTTATCTATAAAAGGGGTGAATAACAGTGCCCACTTTATGCAGATAGTTATGAGTATTAAGTTATAATGCATATAAAGTGTTTAGCTCAGGGATTGGTACAAAGTAAATTCTCAAATGCTACTGTTTTTATTTTAGAGATTGTAAAATTAAATCATTAATTATTATGGGTATCAGTATGTTTATTATCATTAAGACAGAGCTTTAAAAATTAGTAGTTCTGAGCTATCACTTAAAGAACTTTTGAGATCTTTACCTTTTTTTTTTAATTGCTGAGTCACATTACTAACTTAGCTATAAGTACACTTAGGAAAAGCTGGATAACTGTAAATGGAAGCTTTGTTTAACAATGTTACCTTTATTCTAATTTAAAATAGTTGATGCCATCATTTTTTATTCTAGCCTTTAATCATACAGTCACTAGGATCCAAAACTCAGAGTGCAGAGTTGACAAAAACAGACTCTGAAGGTAAAATTAAAGGTAAGTTTTTGAATAAAACTTTCATATTGGAAGTAGTAGAAACATACTCACATGTCTTATTAAACTTGTTGAAGGCATTCATCACACTGTACTAGATCAGAATATTAAATTCGACTAGATGTAAGTACCATGAGGTCAAGGATTTTGTATGCTTTTTTCATTTATGTATCCCCTTGCAATTAGAACTGGGCCTGGAACATAGCAGGCACTTAGTAAATATTTGAATGAATGATTAATGAAATTGTTACTTAACATACAGAATTAACTATGTTTTAACTTAAGATTTAAAGATGAGTTAAAGATGAGTTAACTTTTAGTGTACATTGTACAAAAAAAGTCTTTGAATAAATCGATTTGTATAAATCACATTATTTACATTCTTTATTTCAGCTAAGGAATATTGTAGAACATTATTTGCCTATGAAGGTACTAATGAAGATGAACTTAGTTTTAAGGAGGGGGAGATAATCCATTTGATAAGTAAGGTAAGTTATTTTTCAGTTTTTCAGTGAATTGTGTAATTTATTTCTCAAAATTCTTACATTCACCCTAGAATGTAAGCTCTAGAAGAGCTGGGACTTTGTCTTGTTGGTTTCTGGATCCTGAGAACATGGCACCAAGAAATGGTTAGAAGGTTATTTTGTTGAGCTAAATTTATTGTCTATATTTGTTACAGTTGGTATGTTGGGAATTATTTTTATCTATCATATTGTTTTTAATTTTCTTTATTAACCCCAACTTTCCAGGAATTTATCTTTACTTATATTTCACCTCATTCAATTTTCTTCCTCCTATCTATTTGTGGAGCTTTGTTTGTAATAGACGGAGAAGAAAAATAGGGAAACAAGCTGTTCATCAGTATGCATGAGACTCTTAACTATGGAAAATGATGTAGCCGTTTCAAAGAATGAAGTGATTTTATAACTTAGAATGAATTCTAAAGCAAAATAAGGAGAAAACTTAAGTATTTGGGTGTGGACAGAATTTCATTCATAACTATATAAAATATAAATGTTTTGGTTTTGCTGTTACCCTGCAAAATAATTTTTCCCATTATTTTAAATTGATTTTATTATCAGATGGCTTAGTATATGTAATTTTTAAAAAAATAAGTATTTTTGTATATGCTTAAAGTATATAGCATGATGTTATGGGATACATATAGATAGTAAAAAGGTTATAGTGAAGCAAATTAACATATCCATCATCTCACATAGTTATCCATTTTTTTGTTCCTGTGACAAGAGCAGCTAAAATTTACTCATTTAGCAGGAATTTTATAAATGTATCTCATTTTTAATATTTGTATAATTTGGAATGATTACACTACTTTTTCATGTAAGGGTGAGTCTTTGAAAGAAACTTAGAAGCTCTTGTTAATTTTTAAAGCAACTAAATAATGAGATTAAGATTTAGTATATAAAGTGTTAAGAATGCTAAGGAAAAATATGGTTTGGATATTATATTTTTTTTTCCTCTCTCTGTCTTCTTCTCTTTCCCACTTTCTTTTTTTCTTTTTCCTCTTCCCCTGAGAACTTTTTAATCTTATATGTTGGTTTTTTTTTTTTTTCCAAATTGGGGTCTCATTCTGTTGCCTAGGCTGGAGTGCAGTGGCATACTCACAGCCACTGCAGCCTTGACCTCCTGGGCTCAGGTGATCCTTCCACCTCAGCCTTCCAAGTAGATGGAACCACAGATGTGCGCCACCACGCCCAGCCAAGTTTTTTTGACTTATTGTAGAGACAAGGGCTCGCCAAGTTGCCCAGGCTGGTCTCGAACTCCTGGACTCATGCAGTCCTCTCACTTTGGCCTCCCAAAGTGCTGGGATTATAGGCGTGAACCACCATGCCCAGTCTGAGTTTTTTTTTTTTAAATTAAAGAGATGAAGTCTTGCTATGTGACCCAGGTTGGTCTCAAACGCCTATCTCTGTGCTCAAAGTGCTGGGATTGTCTGGGCTCAGTGTCTCAGCCTGTCATCCCAGCACTTTGGGAGGCCAAGGCAAGTGGATTGCCTGAACCCGCAGGTTTGAGACCAGCCTGGGCAACTTGGCAAGACCTTGTCTCTACAATTTAAAAAAAAAAGAAAAATTAGCTGGGCACGGTAGCACGTGGCTGTAGTTGCAGCTACTTGGAAGGCTGAGGTGGGAGGATTGCTGGAGCCCAGCAGGTGGACACGGGTGACCATGAATGTGCCACTGCAGTCCAGCCTAGGCGACTGAGTGAGACTCTAAAAAAACAAAAAACAGCAAAGTGCTGGGATTATAAGCATGAGCCAACACACCTGGCCTAGGTGGAATTTTAAAACTGACCTATTTTTAAAAAAATTAAACCCTATTTTGTATCTACAGCTAAAATTAATACATGGGGAATATTTTCTTTTAGGATGACATAGTCATCTACTTAGGTGTTTTTTTTTCTTGTAAAAATAATGGATTTAAATATTTTTCTAGTTTAAAGATGACTATTATCTTAATTAATCTGTTTTGGTTTTTAGGAGACTGGAGAGACTGGCTGGTGGAAGGGTGAACTTAATGGTAAAGAAGGAGTATTTCCAGACAATTTTGCTGTTCAGATAAATGAGCTGGATAAAGACTTTCCAGTAAGCTTTTGTTTTTCAATGATGATAATACTTGAAAGAACGTTCTGCCAATATTCTTTTAAAAACAAGTTTTTTGTGTTATTATTGAATAATTTTTATGAAGAAGTTTCAGATTTCTACATTCAGGTTGAAGTTATTTGAGTTATTGTAAAGCAAAATCATGTTTCATTTCTATACTGTATCCCTGTCCCATGTTCTCCCCCCATACTGAAAAATTACCTTTGCTGTCTGTCATTGAGTTAAATAAATTATTGGATATTTACTCTGTGGAAGCTTAGGTATCTGAAGTCTTTCTTTGTTCTCTCTCCTTCTCCCCCCGCCAACATATTTAAGGTTTGTCTAATGCACTGATAATTTTTGAAATAGTTGACTGAATAGGCTTTTTGTGGTAGTGAAATAAAATTTTTGTCTTTGATTCTGGAGCAGTTAGGATCTTAGCATTTTATAACTTTGGCCAAGGATGGAATAAGAAGAGAGATTCATATAATTTAAATTATTGACAATGAGAATTTATTTTAAATGTTGATATTTGTTATGTAACCAGTCACCAATTCATCATTATTATTTTGACAGAAACCAAAGAAACCACCACCTCCTGCTAAGGGTCCAGGTATGTAAGAAACACAGTATTTAGCTTGCTATTGTCAGTATTTGTAACTTCTAAAATTATAAAATTGAGTCTAATGTAAACTGTTAATTTTTATTAGCAAAAACAAGTATGATTTTTTGAAATATATAAAATTGAATGTTCACATGCATTAGTTTTCATCATATTTTTAAAAGTGAAAATACTGCTAAAATAGAGTTCTTGAAAATAATTTAGATACTTTAGTTATATCTAGTTTTGAATGAATAAAATTGATACAGTTTAACTTGTTTAGAAACCTTATTGATGTAGCCAATTAGTTATTTTACCTTTTCAAAGAGAATCCATTAGTTAATGTCCTAAGCACATATTAGTTATTTATGTACTCTTCTTTCAGAGAGCGTGCTAGAGTTAAATAAGGTAGACAGTTTTAAGGAGTTGAATGAGACTACCCTAAAAGTCTTGCAGATTTTATAATCTGACTCTTTATTTCCTTAAATTCTATCCCCCACATATCTGATTTTCACAAGCATAGTAAAATTTTTTATTTCCTAAAATATTTGTTATTTTTTCGAGTAATTCAAATATTTTTCTCCTCCTTGGTTTCAGCTTTATATTTGCTGACTAATCTTAGAACAAGGAAAGCATAAGTTGAAAGTAACTTCTTTAGAAATTGGTGTTAAGAGGCTTACTGTAAAACTGTACTCTTTAATATGGTAGCCAATAGACATATGGAGTTTTTATAATTATTTAAAATAAAATAAAATTTGGTTTCTCAGTTGCAGGATTCACATTTCAAGTGTTCAATAAGTATATATTAGATACTAGAAAAATCGACTGCTTCCATCAATGCAGAAAGTTCTTTTGGACTGCGATGGGGTAGAAGATATGAACTCTGACACCCCAGATTCAACAAAGGAACTCAGATCACAGTATAGGGTAATAGCAGCAAGTCCAGGATTAGAATTTGAACCTAGTGATTCTGGTACATTGTTCTTTCTATTAAATCATGGTTTCGTCCTGTATTATTTTTAGACAAATCTTTACTTTTCATAGTATGATTGTCCCTTGCTCTAAAACTTTTTTAAAAAATGGATTACTTTATGTCCCTCCCTCCCAGCTCCAAAGCCTGAGCTGATAACTGCAGAGAAGAAATATTTTCCTTTAAAGCCTGAAGAAAAAGGTAAGGCTGATTTTTTTTTTTTTTTTTACTTTCAAAAAAATAATTCTTTTATGGTCATTTTAAAGAAAAATATCTCTTTACACTGAGTGATAGTTGTTCAAGGTCCACTTATGAGTGAGAACATGTGATACTCAGTTATTTAGTTACACTGATTTTTAATAGGTGTTCAGTATTATTTGAAATACTTGGAGTTTCTGGGAGGAAGTATATAAAATCTGCAAGACTTCCTCCCAGAAGTGTATAGGAAATTAAGTTTCTACTCACACTGATAACAATTTTCATTCAAAAATTAACCATTATCATTAAAACATTACTCAGTAGGATGTAGTTTTTACTCATAGTTATTTCAAAAAAAGTATAAGAAAACCAAGCATAAAATAACTATGTTGTTGCTGCTGTTACTATTTTGATTTGGAGTCTCACTCTGTGGCTCACACTGGAGTGTGGTGGCACGATCATGGTTACCGCAGCCTCTACCTGCTGGGCTCAGGCAATCCTTCCACCTCAGCCTTCCATGTAGCTATACTACAAGTGTATGCCACCATGCCCAGCATGAGATCTCACCATGTTGCTTAGACTGGTTTTGAACTCCCTGGGCTCAGCTAGTCTTATTGCCTTATTCTCCCAAAGTGCTCGAATTACAGGTGTGAGCCACTGTGCCTGGCTGTTTTTATTGTTTTTATAGTATTTTAGTTTCTAAAAAATTACTTAGAAGATAAAGTGTGAATTCCTACTTATACATGGAAATAATTATATATTATTTAATTATATATTATTTAATCTCACTGCAGGTATTTATCATCATGTAAACTTAGAAAGTTGTTCCAAGGAACCATATGTTTTGTTAAAAGCATTACTTATTTTGTTTCATTGTTGTAAATTTGGAGAAAAAACGTCCTTCCCTCTGTACAGAAAGATACGCAGTGGTTGTCTCTAGTAGATTAACTTATATTCATCCAAAATCTAAAATACCATTTCACAGTGGTGTAGTAGTCCACTGCATCCTTGTCTCTTGCCTAAAGTACTGTATCCTCTTAGTGATATTTTTCAGGTTAACTCCTTGTCTGTCTTTCCCTTAATTATATGCATTTAAAATTTCTCCCTGTCTTTTCATGGCTTGGTAGCCCATTTGTTTTTAGCACTAAGTAATAGTCCATTGCCTTTCCATACTATATTTATCCACTCACTTCCTAAGGGAAATCTTTTTTTTTTTTTAACATATTTTTTATTTTAAAATTGTGGGGTACAGTTAAGGACTAGGTATACAAATAGGTATTGTGCAAGTACCCTTGTTGATGAGGTATGCCCCCCCCCGTCCCCAGACAGATATTGACTACCATTAATCCCCTCCTTGTCCCCCCATAGTTTCCCGCCACTGTCAATCCTTTTCTTACAGTATTGTGATAGTTGTTCAAGGTCCACTTATGAGTGAGAACATGTGATACTCAGATCTTTATTTCTGTGAGAGATCACTCAGTATTATAAACTCCATTTCCATCCAGGTTGCTGCGAAATTCATGATCTTGTTCTTTTTTTATGGCTGCGTAATATTCCATTGTGTATACGCCCCACATTTTTTTAAATCCAGTCCTCTTTTGATGGAGAGCATGGTTGGTTCCATGATCTTGCTATTGTGAACAATGCTGCGATAAACATATGTGTGCAGGTATCTTTTTTATAGAGTGATTTGAGTTCTTCAGGGTATATTCCCAGTAGGGGGATTGCAGGGTCATATGGAAGGTCGATTTTTAGAGCTTTCAGGAATCGCCACACTGATTTCCACAGAGGCTGCACTAGTTTACACTCCTATCAACAGTGTAGAAGTGTTCCTAAGGGAAATCTTGATTACTTCCATGTTTTGGCAGTTATAAAGAAGGTTGCTGTAAAGGTGTGTGTTTGTTTTTGTGTGGACATATTTTCAATTTGTTGGGGTAAATACAAAGAAGGAGGATTAATGGATTCTATGGTAGGTATATATTTAGTTTTATAAGCAACTGCCAAAACTGTCTTCCAGAGTACTGTACCATTTTGCATTCCCACCTGCATGAATGAGTTTCTGTTATTCTACATTCTTGTTAGCATTTACTATTGTCAGTGTTTTGGATTTTGGGCCATTCTAATACATGTGTAGTAGTGTCTCACTCTTGTTTTAATTTGCAATCTCCCGATGACATATTTGTTGAACATCATTTCATAGGCTTACTTGTTATTTATATATCTTGTCCATTTTTAGAATCAAGTTGTTCATTGCCGTTTCTTTTTCCTATTTCTTTTTTTTTTTTTTTGAGTCAGGGTCTCACTGTGTTTTTTGAGTCAGGATCTCACTGTGTTGTCCAGGCTCTAGAGCAGAGTGGCAGGACCACGGCTCAACCTCCTGGGTTTAAGTGATCCTTCTTCCTCCTTGACCTGCTGAGTAGCTGAGAATACAGGTGCGCACCACCACGCCCAATTTTTTTATTTTTTATTTTGTAGAGATCAAGTCTCACTATCTTGCCTAGGCTGGTCTTGAACTCCTGGGCTCAAAGTTGACCTGTCTCGGCATCCCAAAATGCTGAGATTACAGGTGTGAGCCACCATGCCCAGCCTTATTTTCTTCTTGTTGTATTTTAAGAGTTTTGGTATATTGTGGATAAGTCTTTGATCAGACATTGTCTTTTGCAAACATTTTCTCCTTATCTTCACAGAGCAGAAGTTTTTAATTTTATTGAAGTTCAATTTTTTTCATATAGCATGGGTTTGGTGTTTTACCTAAAAAGTCATTGACATACCCAAGGTCATCTAGATTTTCTCCTGTTATCTTCTAGGTTCTTTTATTCTTTTAAAAAATCTTCTAGGATTTTTATTGTTTTGTGTTTTACATTTAAATTTATGATTCATTTTGAGTTAATTTTGTTAATCGTGTAAGGTCATTGTCTAGTTGTTATTTTTTTTCTTGCGTATAGGTGTCCATGATTTGAAACCATTTGTTGAAAAGACTCATTTTTCAGATAAAAACTAAAAGTCCAATTTGGAGACCCTCTAGTACCTAACGGTCAAATTACATTTTTGGTGTCATCTTCCACCCTTCTTATTCACTAAATGCAGCAGTACTTCTGTATTCCCAGTATGTCATGTACCTTCATAGCTTCATCTCTTTCTTGCGGACTTTTCTCAGCATGGAAGTTTTTTGTATTTTATTTTATTTTTACATTTAAGAAATTTTTATGTATTTATGTTGCTAAAACAATTCATACTTAATAAAAATATATTTAGTCTCAAGTTAGTCCTCTGTGAACTAGTTATTGTTAGGTTTTGGTTTTGGATTAGTTTATTTTAGTACTTGGTTATATCTGTTCTACCTGAAAAATTCATCTTACCAAGTTATATAGAACCAAACATAAGCAATATATTGCCAACTTTATTATGTGTATAATGATTTATTTTTTATAATTCCCTCCACCGATTAGGCAGTAGTTAAAATTCAGATAGTGACTTCCCATATTCATTGAAATCAGTTGATCTTATAAATAAAATGGAAGGTGATGCATTTTTATTACATTTATTTGTGCAAAGTCCCGACTGTAGTAGAGTCAAAGGAACTGAAATTACACTTCTGATCTATACAACTAGAAAACTGAACACAATATATGAAACAATGATTTTGAGACATTGGCTGCCAGGCAGCTATAGCACTGTGATCACTGAGAGGAGAGAAACCACTGAAGTGAGTCCCAGCTTATTCCCTAAAGGTCTATAGGCAGGAGAAAGGAGGAAGCCAAACAGAGCCCAGTGTTCTGGAGTTCAGGACACATAGGCATTTAGGGAGGCCAAGGCACTGACAGTTCGTGGAGGGAACTGCAGAGAGAACACTCAGATCTGTGGAGGACTTACTGTGAGGCTCTGCCTGAGTACTGATCTACATTAGCTGGAGAAATAACTGCTAAAAAAAAAATAAGAAAGACCCTAATTGAACTTTCAGAGTTGAAGAATACAGTATTTGAAATGAAAAACACAGATTGGAAACTGCAGAATTTTTGTAAGTCAGAAAGAATTTATATTCCCAGGAGCCAGAGTAGAAAGACCTCATTTAAGGTATTGGATAGAGTTCATAAACGGGTGTATCACTTTAGACGAAAGGATTCTCTGCATCTATCTTGGAAACAGTGCTAAAAATTTCCAGTACAAGATTCTGTACAATTTAAAAGCATCTGACAGAATCTCATAATCAAGAGTATAAAATTCACAAAGTCCATTATTTGATCAAACATTTCCAGGCATAAAAAGAAGCATCACATAATCAGGAAAAAAAAAATCAAGTCAATAGAAACAGAGCCAGAAATGACAGAGATAGTGGAAATAGTAGGCAAATACTTTAAAACAGCTATTACAGATATTTTCCATGTGTTTAAAAAGGTAGACAAAAATCTGAACATGATAGTGTGAGAACTGGAGAACATAAGAAAGACCCTAATTGAGCTTTCAGAGATGAAGAATACAGTATTTGAAATGAAAAACACAGATTAGAAACTGGAGAGGAAAATATTTGTGAACTTGAAGACATAGCAACGATTCAAAATATATAGAAAAAAATGAACAGACTGTTACCTGAGTGACAGTATCAAGTAGTCTTACTTAAGTGTCATTGGAGTATCTGATGTAAAGGTGAGAGAATGGGGACACAAAAGTTATCTGAAGAAATAAAGGCTGAAACATACAATTTGATGCAAAGCTATGATAAAGAGAAAAGCTTAAAGCCTAGAAGAAAATAACCTATAGTTCTCTACCAAACAAAAGTACCTTTCGAAGATGGAGGCAAAATAAAAACTTTGAGATAAACAATCCTAGAGAACTTATTGTCAGTAGCTCTGTATTACAGAAAATGTTAAAAGAAATTATAAGAAGTTATTTTTTACAGAAGGAAAATGATACTAGATGAGCAGTTGGAATCATACAGAGTAATGAACAATACCAGAAATGGCAAATATGTGATTATATATAAAGGACATTTTTCTCATTTTAAA